TTCACATGCAAAAACTGTACTCCCAAATTATTTCATACTGACAACTGCATCAGGCAAGTAAACAATGATCACTTTTTTAAAACCAATAAAAACCAAACATGGGATTTAATACACTGAGCTTCTTAATTTTATTTATATGGGGGAAAGACTCTGCATCAACCAAAAAACCAACTAATATATAAGGAAGTGCTACTAGTTAGTATTCAGAAAAATTAAATTTGCTATCACCAGATAAGTTATTTACTAACTATAGAATCTAAATTCTTCCACGCAAAGAAGGAAACAAGAAACCACCATACTGAAGCACAGTTCACCTATGCAAATGTTTGCACTAGAATATCTTTCTTTTTAACAGTTTGTTAAGGGAACAAATGGGGGAAAGGATATTCTCTAATTTGTTCCACATCAGGTCTTCCCCAAGTAAAGGATCCCTTTGACTCATCCACCACAGGGTGCAAATAAGCTTCCGCCACCGAAGGATTTGGGAAACCAGTAGCAATTTCTATGTGCCGCAGTTTTTTCTTCACTTTAGTATCATATGGATTGGGACGTATTTTCTTATTCTTTTGAGCCTCAGCCCACCATTCTCTAAAAAAGAAGAGAGAGAAAAAGAGGCACATTTAGAAAATGATCTTGACTTAGGCTTTGGAAAGGAAAAATGAAAGCCCCCAAAGTGAAAGCTGCCTACATGAGTTTCAAGAGAGGCTCTAGTTCTCGACCAGGGAACTCATTCAAAATCTCCATTGCAGTTACATAGCCAACATTAGGGATGCCCTCAGTGTAGTCGCTGCCCAAGAGATAGGCCAGATTAATCAACTTGTTTCGATCCAAGCCTGAGGGGGAAAAAGGAAGTGATCATCTGCAAGTTTCTTATCATGTAGCAGAAAAAAAGGATTTGTTTATTTCGTTCTTTCAGGGATTCAAACAAAGTAACTGGAGGCAAAGTACAACAAAAACAAACAATAAACAAAGGAAACTAATTATACAATGTTAAAAAAAAACAGCCCAATATAGAAAATATAAAATGATGACCAAAAGGGATAACCAGTCAACTAAAACAGGACTGTGTTCAACTGAACAAAAATACCTAGGGGTGGGGGGGGGAAGCCAAGTTATAGCAACTTACAGCAAGCAGAATTGGGGCCTGGTATATATTGGGGAAAGAGATTGTTCCAGGGGCAACTACAAATCCTATGCACATGTCTTAGGTACCATAATTACGGGACAAGGTTTAAAAGGCACACGTTCAATAAGCCATGTTTAAAAGGGGAAAGCTGGAGCACACCCACCCAATGAGAAATTGTTGAGGGGGAACATGCTTATATCCATTTTGTTAAATGGAAATTAGCATTGGGAACGTCAGCAAAAACTTCAAAGTAGGTTGAACGAAGCAGGAATAGCATACTTTAGAAATATTTAGGGTAAACCAAGAAGAGATGTTACTCTGTTATTCTTTATGAATAAATGGGTTCTCATCCTGAAGACTGAAAAGTGAGAGATCACTTTAAAATAGTATGTTGAAGCTGTTTAATCATACAGAGTGAATAAAGGCCAAATCACAAAGAAGTATATAGAGGAAGGATTAATAAGTCAAGAGGGAGGGGCAGACTAAAAAAGTTGTGTTGAACTGATAAGATCATGAAAGAGAGAGAAATAAGAATCTAAAGAACAAAAGGGAATGTATCACACAGTGACAGATAAAAATGGAAGCAAGAATTTTTTGCGGTGCAGAATGGTATGGAGAGGAATAGTTATTCGTCTGGCGTAAACTAGATCTAGCCTCTTCTTTTTCCTTTTCTCACGATTTGACTTTCTATTTCTTCTTCATTTTTCTGCCCTTTGTTTTGTTTGTTTGTTTTATTGTTTACCTCAAAAGAGAATAGTGTAATGGGTACATAAGTTTACAACTGAAATTAAGTTATATATTTGGAAAAAGATAAAAGAAGCCAAGATCTCCGCTGGGGGAGATCATTCGTGGCTTTGGGGTGGATTTCCATCAGTACGCTGACGACACTCAGCTGTACATATCCACCCCGGGCGACCCCAACGATGCCCTTGACGTGATGACCCGGTGTCTGGAGGCCGTGAGGGTCTGGATGGGGAGGAACAGACTCAGGCTCAACCCGTCCAAGACCGAGTGGCTGTGGTTACCGG